GGGTCACACATAAATGTCATATTTCAGTTCTGGATATGTTACGATGATCATATCATTGGAGAATTGATATAATTAATTCATTGATTTAGGTTGACTTTCCCTCTTGTTATATACATATCTAGATATGTATATAACAAGGTTTTTAAGGAATAGCTATATGGCTGGAATGAATGAAGAGGTTCTTTCCTTGCAAGATTGAGAACGCAAAAACTGTCACTTGACTTCTGATTTGTCCACGATCAGTGACCTTATATCTTGGTTGGAAACAAATCATGTTTCTGATTCATTTGCTAGACTATGATGTTTGTATTCTGGTTGGGACAGTTTCTGATTAGTTGGTTGAAATATGACTTCATGGCTTAGCAATTCTAAATATACATCTATTTTTTAGAGATGGTGAAATTTTGGTCTCCTTGTTATTTGTTTATTTTTATTTATTTATTTTTCTATCACTACAAATCAAATATACATGTATATGTTTTATGCTATCAAATACAGTATATATGATGAATAAACAAAATCAATTTCAGCATGATTTTTGAGACAAGGAATTGTCATTATGAATTAATTTATTTGATCTACTGATCTGAGCTTTTCATCACTGACACAACATTTTGGCTATGTATAACCTAACTGTCTATTTTTCTTTTCTCCTTTTTTTTTCATTTCTGGGAATTTTTTGTATTTTGTTATTTTATTGCTGTGATATCATTTGTTGAACAAAAGCATACAGATCCAGAGATTGAACTCACAAACAACAGATAATGCCATCACTTTAATCAAAGCTACAATACTGAAGGACATAAAGTGGTGTATTTTCGGAGGTTTTAAACGGAACGTCAGATAATTTAAGATTTGTTATCATGTCAGGTTCATAACCCACTGATTGCAGTCTGTACATGGTCGATAACAAGCATGATGAGAACAATATTTTCAACAAATCAATATTTCGTCAAAATCGAGTTCAACAAAAACTACAAAGCAGGCAGGGTGGTCATTTAGAAAATGAACATTGGTGAAAAATTGTTTCAGTTTCTTATCATTGTTTACAAGATGTTGATTTCATCAATCTATCTGGTTATATCATCACACAGTTTTTATTTTGATTATTTCAACAATAGATTAACAACATTTTTCACATTTAGAATTATCTATTAGATACATCTTTTTGCTTAGGATATACATATTTTGGTTAATATTTTGCTCACATCAAACTTGAAATAATTTTGTTTTTAAACTGCTGACAGCATGATTTTATTTTTCAAATCTATATCTATAATTCTCAAAATGTGTGTGCGTATGTATGTATGTGTGTGAATGGATGTTGTTGATGCATTTCCACACTTTTCATCCAATTTTGATGAAATTTGTTTTGTTTGCTAGATAATTCTTCAGTGCCTGTTTTGAGTCCAAACTGTCTGGAAAAAATTACAACGTTGAAGGTAAAAAATCAAAAAAACTGATTTTTTACACTTTGTGCAAAAATCAAAGACAAAATTTGATGTTTGTAAAAAACACATACAATCAATTTAAATAGTTGAAATCTAATGCAAAAGATTATTAGAATTATAAAAAAATATATTATAAATAAAAATTGTTGTATATTATTATGATGACGGTCCATGGAAGAGGTTCCTTCCTTGCAAGATTGAGAACGCAAAAACGGCCCTTTTCAGAGCCACTTACCATTCAAATTGTTCACCTCCCCATTTAGGGATGATGTCTCAGTTGCACCCAATTGTTGTTACTAATATTGATTTTCGGGTGGACTGACTTTAAACTTAAACTGCTCCAATTGAACGACAAAAATTCCCAGTAATAAAACACCTGGTTGAAGATGGGTTATACTGCTAGTATTACATAAAGCGTAAATCAGATTTATATTATTATGGGATCACTCTTTAGATACTAACAAATACTAACTTATCATTTTCTGTACATATTTGCCTATAAGATGATGAATGACAAGAAATTTGTATAAAATATTATAGGCAAATTTTTACTGAATTTTTTTTTCCAGTTGGGAGATTTTTAATTCTGTATTTTAAGATTTTGTATTTGGGGCTAAAACCTATTCAATATCAGACTAGAAAATGCTAATATTAAACTCTGACTAAAAGCAGGTTTGGAAAATATAATTTGACATATGATTTTTGACTTAATTTTTATGTTCAATAGAACATAAACATTTTTTTGACATTTGTCACTTTTAAAGGAAAATTAATGATGATGCACACTAAGCTGGTAATATTATTCAAAAGAATATATAAAAACCAAAAGAGATCATGAGTTGTGGTTAGTATTCATGTCTTGCAAGATATTGATAGTGAGTCAAACAAATATTAATAAAAACAATGAACTTTAGAGTTATGTGCCAAATTTCAAGCTGAGATTCTGTCCCAATTAGCTGACACTAGTAAGTTGGTTAAAAGTTATCAATCAACAATGTATGTAAATAAAGAATAAGCATCAGGCAAGACTCAAACTTGCATCACTTTTTCTCAGGATTGGCATGACAGCTGCCTTATCAATTAGGCTACATGTGTTGGTAAATAGCTAAAATAATGATGACATACTAAGTGATCATGGAAAATAAGGAATAGCTATATGGCTGGAATGAATGACTGCAGCCTCAGATCTCCATGGCCTCATTGATAAGGCAGCTGTCATGTCATGACAAGCTTCTTGAGGGAAAAGCGATGTGAATTACTGTTGAGTCCAGCTGGAGGCATATTTCCAATTATTTTAAGGGCTGTAATGATACAGGAGGAATTCTTTGGTAACAAAGAAAAGAATTATGACCTATTACGTGACATCTGTCCTTCTTTATGGCAGTGGATGCTGAACGATTTTCTCAAAGATGAAGAGACTTGAGGTGAGGGAGATGTGGTTCTACAGAAGGATGCTAAGGATATCATGGACTGAATGTGTGAGCAACGATGAAATCTGAGATAGAATGCAAACAAGGAGGAGGTTTATACTTAACATCAAGAAGAGGCAGCTGAAGTTTCTGGGACACGTAATGAGGAAGGAGGCCCTGGAGAATCTGATACTCATGGGTCAAATAGAGGGAAAGAGAGACAAAAAAAAACAATGCCTGACATACCTAGCAGGCTTAAGCAATGGATCATGGAATGTGGTCTGGGGAGGTAGCAGAGGGAAGGAACTTGTTGAGAGCTGCAAGAGATAGAGGGGAGAGCAATGATCGCCTACGTCCTGAAAAGACATGGCACATGAAAATAAAAATTATCATTTGAAACTTGCAATAAAAAAGTTAAATTTAAGACGAATAAGAATTTTTGAGTAATTGACAAATCTTCACTTAAGCTGTTGCTGATGACTACTGTTATTGGTCAGTTTGCATAATTTTCAGTTTTCACCCACTTTTCCCTCATGTCATCTTATTCAAGCCAGTATTTGAAAAATAAAATGCCCGTTTTCAAACCAAGTACCAGAAAATTTGCGCAGCACAATATTTCTATTTTGATTTCTTCCCATTTGGCCTTGCTTCAAAACTAGTAAATGTCAATAACAAAAATAAAAATAATTGATAATATTAGTCAGTGTTAATGTTCGTGTTGTAGTCTGTTAGATTTATTTTTTTTTTTAATTTCGTCTGTTGTTTGGTCAATGCTGTTTTTCTGAGGCCAACTAATTTTTTTTAATCTGAAGATATATTTTTCTTGTTGAGCAATCTTAAAATGTCATAGAAAATTAAAGCTAATATTAATTATTACTCTCTCTCTCTCTTTAATTCACAAGCTTCGTCGTATAAAGAAAAAAAAACAATTTCTCACTACTTTCTCTTCGTTTGGGAGCCGGACGAGATCTCGCGAGATTTTACATAACTATTAACGAGAGTTTCAGTCGAGAGATTGCGAGATTTTATGTAACTAGTTTTCCTATCCATGATGGCTGACCCGAGCACTGAGGTATGTTATCTCCTGCAAAAATATACCAACACTTTATTACTTTATTACACTTTTTGGTATATGTATATAATTTATTGCAGCTGCAATCACTTCTCTAAATTGTTGTGTTTGATCGGTTTCAGATTGCAAAGTTGATGCATTATGCGGTTCGCTATTATTCGGCCTGTAGTTGTTGGTGAATCAACTGGATTATTAGTTTTTGTTAGTAGTTGTGGTTAGCTTCTGTTACATCTTTACTACTGTTTTAGTGATCAATCTGCTCCAGACCGACTTTAATTTGTATTTTTTTATTTTGTGTGGTCTTGTTATGAACATAATAAGCAATTGGCGAGTGTAGATTGTATATAATTGTAGACGAGTGTAAACTATCATCTCAGATTCATCCATATATGGTAGTTATGACGTAGCTAGCTGCCGACTTATTGCAACTACTGATGCTGCTACCGTCAAGCAAGATGCTACTAGCTTATTTTCTTTCTCTTTCATCTCGGTTTCTTGAATGTTTATTATTATTATTATCACCCCTTCTCGAAAAATCAGTATGAAAACTTGACAGTTTTATAAAACATGGGGAAAAGAATCCCTTTAATCTTGACTAAACCTTATCACTTTTTTATTTCTCTCTGCATAATTTTTTTCTTTTCTTTCTTCCTTTTTGGTCTTTGCAGAGCGAGCATCAGCATCAGCCGTCGTCATCAATGTCATCTCTTTCTCAGTGAGTTTATGTATGAAGAAATAAAGGAATAAAATAAAGACTATATGTAACCAATTTTTACATTCATTACCAAATCAACCTTAACTTGGCTTGCTACCTTGGAGTCGTTACTTGTCTTCGATTATTTTTAGTGCTGTTTGTTGTTAACCCCAGCCGACTGGGAACATTGACGACAGACACGCACTCTCTCCTGTGAAAACCAACACGCCAACCAAACGAAAGACAAAAAGGAGCAAAATTAGGAAAAGAAAGAAAAAACAGACTTCTAAAATACAGGAGCCCTAACCTTTGTTACAGAAAGGTGTAGCAAGCAGACTAAAATCTTAACCATGGCGTTATCGTTGGACAATTTCATGCCGAATGTCATTACCCAGGATACGAGGAGCAGGTCGCTTGTCCATTCGGATTTAGTGGCCTATCTTAGCGATCCCGGGGCATCCCTAGCTTGTGAAGACATCGACCAATTCATCAATGGTCTCGTTGCTTGGGTCAATAGCAGCAATTTCAAGGTAAAAATTATTTTCAAAAAATTACATCTCTTTAGTTTAAATAAAAAAAAAGTTTCTTTTTCAGCACTGTGCAGTCTAATTTGGTTAGTCATCCATCAGCTGATAAAAAGAAATCATCATACCCTCTGAAAATTTGTGGTTCGGCATTTGTGTCAAGACAATGTGAGATGGTAGTAGTAAGTAGTAGATAAATTATTCGGAATAATTTGCGTAGATTTCATATTTGTTAAAACAAACTTATAGTAATTCTGGTCCGTGTTTATCAAAATTAATAAATAAATCAAGAAAAAAAAAGTAAATTATGGAAGAATTGGTAAAAAACCTGAAGACCAAGAGTTTACTTTTAGTTTTCCGTGATTAATTACATACAATGATTGAATCAATAGTTATTTTTTGTTAAATTGAAGAGAAAAGCAGATGTTCTGTAGATTAAAAACGGGATTAGGAATTTTAAAAGGAAAAAATCGATAATTTGTTTTTAAACATAAATTTCTTTATAAAGATAAAAAAAGCTGTAAAATACTGTTTATTTTGATAGTGGATACACTTTGATTTATTTATTTAAAGAAATAGAATATTGATTAATCTAAAATTTTTACTTTAACTTTGTAGTTACTTCAAAATTTCTAGTAAATTCTAAATGTCTATTTCATTTAGTATATAAAAATTAACTACACAAAATATTTACCTGAAAACAACAGCTGTTGTGTTTGTGGAAATATTCATATTGTAAAAGGTTGAACTTATTGAATGTTACAATGTTTTCTCAAATGCTAGATTTTAAATTGCCCTTCAAATTTGTTCATTTTTTAATGTCCGATTTAAAAAATGGTTTGGCTTTATTTGTGATATGTGTGATAATTTCCTCCTCATCAGGCTCAATTCGAGAAATTTATCTGTATTTCACTCTCCTCTCGTAGTTTTTTTTATACTTTTTTTGTTTCTTGTTTCGTATATTAACAGCTTCTTGACATTGACAATCATGTCTGGTCTGTTTTTTTTTTATATATCACTCTTGTTAATAATGTTTTCGTGAATCTGTAATATTGGATTCTAATATTATTGTGCCTATATGAGGCCATTATTATTATTATTAGTCCACCATTTCCTACATTTCGTTGTGAGATTTGGTACGATAACCTTTTCGTTAAAAAACAAAAACAAAACAAACTATTTTTGAATTAATGAAAATGTTCATTATTAAATTGATTCATTCTGAATGGAAAATCTAAAAACTAATTAAAATATTTGAATAAACAACGTAAGATGGATTTTTTTGTTTTAATACTAAAAGAAAGTAGAAAATATAACTGTCCGGCTTTTAAGTTTTTAGCATCAAATATTTAACATTTTTTTGTTTTCCAATAAAGTAAAAATGTATGTCGCACTGAATTTTGCTTGGATATAAAATTGGATCCTTAGCTTTTATTATTAATTCTGACGTGTCATTAATTTTATTTTTATTTTTAGATGTTCATTTTCTTTGGTGGTGGATACATTAATTTTATCACCAACCTTGAGGCATACATTGATCAACATCATTAACGTTTCAATTTTTTGTCTCCTAATTAATTCTTAGATTAAAATTGTGAAACATTTTATTTTGCTGCTTTGCAAGTATTTATTACTCGATTGTTGACTCAATTACTACTACTAATAATAATGTGAGGCTGTCAGGTAGAACATTTTCTTAATGGCTCCAATAGCCAACCACTCAATAATAATCCAGTCACCTGCGTAAGAATTTTGAGTCCCCAATATTTAGGTGTAGACAAATTACTACATTTATTGTACTACTGTTTGTCTCCATTAATTTACTGTTACAAAGATCTGACTGTAGATTTGTTTGATGTTAGTTGACAAGCTACGATAATTGAGGGGCATCATTAAGTTTCTGGCATTTTTACTGCAACAAATTTGGATTAAAGAATAAAGAGAACTCTGAAAAATCAGTTGCATATGTGGTGTTGTAAAATATTAGTGACATCTGGTAAAACTAGATCTCTAATTTGATTGATCAGTTGTACATATATACACAATTCTATATTTCAGTTATAATGTTGGTTGGCCTCAATGTGTTAATATCTAAAACTGACCTTATTTTTTTTTATTTTCAATGAATTTTTTAGTTATATTCCAATAGTGTTTCTGTTTAATAAAAAATATTGAATTTATAACTTTATATTGCATTTAGAACTAAAACTATCCATACCACCTGTTGTAATAATAATCTATTTTTTATCCTTTTTAATATTTCTAAAAAAAAAGAATGTGCTGCTTTTAGCCTTTTCTAAATAGTCATGAATTGATTGAATCAATAAAGAAGGGAAAGGCAGTTTTAACACATTTTGACTTTATTTCCTCTAACGGTTCTCTAACCCAATAAAATGAATTGATAATGTTAGATAATTTATATTTTTCACCATAAAAAGTTTGTAAACTTTTTCAATGTCAACTTTATTTTCTAATAAATATGGTTGTAATAATGAATTTAAAGTCGTATAAATCTACAAAGATCTGGAGCCATTTGGTTATCCAGGGTAATTAGTATCTAGTATCACTTAATTTCAGATATTTTAGCATTTTAACAATGGCCTGCTATTGAAAGTTACACTTGCTTGCTGAAAGTTTTTAGATTATTGTTTAAATATGAATTAAGAGAATTTGAATTGCTAATTTATGCTTAATTGTCTCTCTAAGCAAAGTATGTCTTTAGAGAAATTTTTCTATGACAATACTTAAAATTCATTAATAGTTAATATTTAGAGTTATATATTTTGGTTTGAGTGTTTTTCATTTATTTTAAGATTATCATGTCCATACACAGTCCTGTCATACTGATTTCAATGTAAAGTTTTAATAATAGTTGTACTGTATAAATAGAAAAGAAAAACATTTGATCCCCAAACTACTTTTTAATAGAATTAAAGATTGAAAAGAAATCTTCAAGTCAGCCTAATCTGGTAAATTTAAATAGCTTATCTACTTTCTATTTTATTATATTTGAACAATTACTATTTGAAATAGTATTTTGTAATTTACAGCAAATATTTCTAACAACTTGTAATTTATAAAGTTAAGTAGCTTGAAATATAGTCAACCTGCCTTCTTTTATTACACTTGGGACCCAGGTTTGCAAAATATAAGTGAGAATAAACTGTAGCTTGAAATTTTCTGTTGATATTGACTTTAGAAAGTATTTTTGATTAAACAATCTCAGCCAAGTTTTAAGTATGAGATTTTATGACAAATCAATTTATGGTAAATATATTGATAACATTCTGTTAATGTATGAACAATGGATTTTAGTTTTTGGCTATAAATGTTGTTTTTATTGTAACATTTTTACATTAAATATGTTCCTTCATATGGTGTGTTGAACCTGATTCTCATTGATCTGCCAACCTTTGCTGTTCATTATGTATATTTAATTATATGCTACATTTTGGGCTGTTATGCTTTTGAATGTTAGTATCTCTTATGTAGGCTGTTATATGCTAAAAAAGATCGTTTTAATTTATTGATCAATTTCCCCATTTTTATTCAATTGAGCTGTTTATCTTGTATTTTCACTTTGTCCTAGAATATTCAAGAACTTTATTTACAGAATAAATTTTGCTCAAAATTGTAATAGTATTGGTGTATTGATTAGGCAGTAGTACGTCAATTATAAATCAAAGCATTTGATAAAATGTGTGTCAGTATTAGCATTTGATTAAAAAAGAGCACTTTAAACAAATATTTATAAAGATATTCTCATATTTGTGAAATTTTTGTTATGAAATGTTGAAATAGATTTAATGATAAAATCATACTTGTAATAGATAATAACATTAGATTAAAAAATTAAGGCTTTGCTTCTAATCTTTCCTCTTTTGCACCTGTACATTGCTTTGAAAGAAAAGAAAAAAGAAACTGACTTATTCTAGTTGGTCACTGTTGACTGAGACCCCTTTTAGGGTACTTGCTTATATTCAGTATGTATGTTATTCTTGAGCATCAGTAATTTGCTTCATTATGCTGCTAATAGTTAAAAGGGTTCCTTCCACTTTTGTTTTTAAGATACTAGATTTTCTTTAAGGTGAATTTGGGATTGAAAAGCAATCTTAACTCAGTTCATTTTTCTTATCAATTCTTTGAGCTACAAATAAAATTATTTGTAGTAAACATTGACAAACTCTTATTTTACTAAGAATGATTTGAACAACTCTTTTGAATTATTTTACTTATTTTTAGAGGATAGATAATTGCTTTTTTTCATTCATGGCTTCTGTATGTATATTTTACAGCATAATGTAGAAAAGTTTTAAACCATTCATTCTATGGTTTTATTTTTAGAAGTTTACTAAAATTTAAAATATTTTACTTATTAAATTTTAACTTAAAAATCCTATTGTTTATTAAATAAGGTTATGCTCATATTTTTTTTAAAATTTTATTTGTAAAATGTTCTAATGCTTAAAATATTTAAGATTGAAATTATCTCCACTATGAATGTTCAAATTTGTTTATTTAAGGAATGCCATCAAGACTTAAACTTTGAAATGTGTTAAAAAGTAATCAAAACTAGTATTTATTGTTTAAATGTAAAAATAACATCTAAGATCAGTATTATCAAATTGTCAGATTTGTGTCACTGCTGTAATGAAACATGAAATAGTAATATAAAAAATAATTATCTTTTTGTACATCATTATCTATAGTTCTATTTAGTTGTTTATTAGGAATCTATCACTTTAAAATGTTTAACAAGAAAAAGAAATTTACTTATTGTCAATAAAATGTTTTAAATTTACATTAGAAATTAAATAAGAATTTGTAATCTTTTATTGTTGCAAGAATAACAAAAAATGCTATACTTTAAAAATTTGCCAAAATCTATTCAAATAATTGAAATAAATACAGAATGAAATAAAAAATAATTTATGAATTTTTGTAAAGCTTATTAAATAAAATCTGGTGGGTTAGAGAATTCTAAATGTGCATATCTGCTGATAGCT